TCGTTATTTTCCTAACACACTCTATATGTATTCCCCATCTTCCGCTTGAATTTGCTTCGACATTCCAATCTTCATTTCGCTATTTTATCCAAATGGGCAACCAAAACCGGCGCACGAAAGTGCATGGTTAATGGTTCTAAAACTGAGACTGAGTGTTTCCAACAATCAGTGGCCATGAATCTCGGGGTCCTCACCCAGGGAGCCTACCGGGACCTAGCGACCTGATTAGGGCTTTCATACCCTCAGACCACGTCTTTATTTGACCGCCTTTGACCTTTCTCCAAGCGCTACCTGCCTCGGTTAACATCGCTGGCCGTTGCAACATACCTGGTGACATACGTAACACATGCCCAACCGTAGTTGATTAGTTCAAATCTGATCACTAACGGCTGCCCCGAAGTCCATGTCTGAAAAATCGATACCACACCGTTGTGCATGCACAAAAATCAAAATGGAAGTATCACATACACACATATCTGGGCTTTCTTCACATATATATGACACCACTTTTTTCTCTTCATACAAAGAAGGCCATGAGGCATGTTTTGTGTGCGGTACACAATTCTCTCCCAATCCCCCTACTCCACGTTTCTTTCAGAGTCGTACGAAATATGAACACGGGATACGACTACGAAACAGTATGTTTCTCGCGCCAATATGAAAGGTCGAACGAGGTTCACAGTTCAAACATGATAGCCAGTCCATGTGATCTGCATGGTCTATCTCCGACTCATTGGAACATCATGAATGTAACATAACGAGAAGAAAAAAACAGCCTGATGGTACAAAAGGTCCGATCGGATTCAGTGTGAGTTGTGAATTATTTGTCCGAAACAACTGAATTGAGGATTTTTCACAATCGATACACACTGAACAACCAACCCATTTGGAACCAAACAAGACAGATGAGTGTATTTCAGAGATTAAAACGAAACAGAAATTCAAACAAAAAAAAATGGAAAATATTTTCAGGATGATTGGGATAATCTGTATGCCTCGGGCTGATCAGTAAATAATTCATGACAGTGACAGGGAATTATCACAAGACAACCCGGGATGAGTGATGGGAAAATCAACAACAAGAAATAGAAATCGATAAATGCGTGGCGTCAGGGAAGAAAGAAAGAAAGAAAGGTAACAATTAGTCGTAAAACGGTAAGAAGCTTGGAGGACAGTTATTATTTATTCATATTATCAATATGTAGTAATCATGTGGATGACAGCAAAACACGTGATTCTTGTCCCCTTCGCCCCCCCCCCCCAAACCCGGGTGGGGATTAGTACGGACAAAATCACTGTTGTTCACTCCACACGCTGCTTCTCGATATTGTAGTATGGCGGAAATATCCTCCTCCGGGGTCATGCCTATCTGAGCAACAGACAGGGGTGGAATCTTTTGTCCGTAAAAAATATCAAACGAGAATTATGGAAAAAAGAACCCCGGATAGATCCTACCATATGAGATGACTCTTTCAAAACCGAACAGCATGCCCATGTCCCGGAAACCTGTTCACTGAATAAGGTGTGGTTAACAAGAAAAACAAATTCCTTTTCCCCTTGTTACATCCCGCCATCGTAATTACCTACACGCGGGAGTGGGGATCAGGAGAAGCATCACAAGAAAATGTCTATGACGCTTGCCACATTTGTGTTGCAGTTTGATAATGAAACAGAACTGAAAATGTATGTAGTCTTGGAAAATGGTAACTA